TCACGGACAACAGAGAGGATGATGGAGGGAAAAAGGCAAGGACAGAGGGAGAGAGAGAGAGAGGCAGAGAGGAGCGCAGTAAAAGAAAAACAAAGAAAGAGTAGAATAGGAGAGATTTACCACACAGGCAGCAGACCGTCCCTGAGGTTAAGGACCTTTGGTGTTGTGTATCGTATTTCTCTTTAACGGCAAGACCCTCACTGACACAGTTTGAAACACACAATAGTCCAACTTAACAGAAGCCAGAGCAGCACTCGTCTCTTTTTTTCTTTCCCCTAACCGTTAAAACCATAAATTATGTGTCTGTGATTTAGAGCATTGTGGGATAATTACGTTGTATTTATTTTTGTTGTTTTGGCTGCAATTCCAATCATTTTTAAAACAATATAATCACCAAGTTAATCGCTAATAGGAATGGGCATATAGCATATTTCTTTAGTTTTTATGCCCGACCATCTGGAACAAACTCCCTGAATCCTGCAGGTCAGCTGCAACTGTTGATACTTTTAAATCGAGATTAAAAACGTATCTTTTTGACGCTGCATTTGGATGAGTTGTTGAAATTCAAACTGCAGTTTGGCTCTTATCCATGTATTTTATACCTGTTGTGTTTATTTTATTATCTTTGCTTTTTAAAATGCCTGTTTTTAAATGCCTTTTTTATAATGTGCTTCCACTGTATTTATTCTTAAATGTCTTTTATTTTATTTTGTAAAGCACTTTGGGTTGCCGTGTGCTGAAAGGTGCTATACAAATAAACTTGCCTTGCCTTGCCTTCATGTTTTAGATGTGTCTTTGCATCTTCTGCTTTTACTTTCCTTTTTTCTGCTGCTTGCTTACAGTTTTTGCTTGGTGTGTTTTCCCATTTGTTTGTTTGTCAGATGGATTATGGTATTTTGATTTACATTATAGTGAAGTATGAGCAATTATTTTCAAGTATCATGAGTGTTGTTGGCTAACAGCATATTTCCTCTTTGCTGTTTCGGTTGTTTGTTGAAAACTCTGATTTGTAGTAGTAGGGAGCATTGGCTTCGGGAATCTTTTACACTGTTTATACACAGGTTACTAGACAATCAAACGTGCTGTCATAGACTTGAGTAAGGGTCATACCATTGTTGTTCCTACTGTCTGTGCAGATTGGCTTTTATATGTGCTTATGTATGTCATTTTGTGTGCTGATGGGTTTTTAAAAACAGCGTTTAACCGGCCATATGTGCATTATGTGCTGCAATCACGAGTCAATTGTGCTTATGTGTTTTAATTCTGCTCATGTGCTTTTACCTGTGCTTATGTTCTGCCATTGTGCTAATGTGTTTTTCTGTGCTTATGTGCTCTTGTATGTTCTTTAAATGCCATCAGCCTGCCATGGACTGCAGATGAAAATGAGCCTTTATGGGTAAATCTGGCACATTTACATAATGGACTTAAGTGCTCATGTTAATTAATGTGCATTTCCAGTTGCACAGTAATTCATATGATGATTATTGTTGTCCTGACAGTCATCTGCTGCTTATTTATACCAGAAAACGTGTTTAGAACAATTATTTTTGAGAGTGGAATATGTTAAAGTTAGACTCATAATTACTATCTCCTGCATATCTGAATGATTATATAGCTTTATAGAGTAAAGAGTAGCATGTATTCTGCTAGTGGGTATAAGCGTCTAAAAAGTGACATGTAATGTAATGCTGTGTATTCCATAGCCAGGACAATATGTGTCTTCTTCAGGATTGAGCAGGAATGCTGATCGTAGAACAGCTTTTGGGAGTGACGGTGTCAGGGCCCGGTTGCCATATATCAACTGTGTACATATTGTTTTTACATAATAACTCTGCTCAAAGTGACTTGCCTGCTTGCCAATATCAAATAGCTTTAAAACACAAGGTTTACTCAACTGCAGTCATTTAAGGTATCGTGTTTGTGTAACGATTAGCCTCCAGCTGGTTTCTTCCCGTGAAGGACAAAGCCAACATGTCAAGGTCTCAGATGTGACTGCTACAAGCAATACTACCTCCAGAATGAAACAGCTCTCGACAAACAAATCATAATTGTTTCACACATTTCGCAAAACTATATACATGTAATCTCTAACTCGACAGAACACATTTCCAGTAGGAGTAGGAGATTTGTTTGTAGCAGTAATAAAGCTGATTAGTAGTTCCTTTTTGTGGAGTGGGTGTAATCTTAAAAGCAGCCAATTTGTGACTAAAGCAGAAAGACACTGCCTTAGTAAAAACACACAGATAGGAGGTTAGCGACTGGTTGTGAGGAGAGCAGCAGGTTTTTATGGGAAGTGAACAACTAACCATCAGTAATTTAAAGGGAAGATGAAGGTAATTCTCATGTGGGAGAGTCATTACTTTGATTGAGAACAGCTGGTGTCATATTCTCCAGTTTCACCTCGGGTTGCCCTTTGTGGAAGTGGCGCTCTCCGTGGTGCCGAACTGCTGGCTGAGAGGCATTACACTTCAGTTTGATTCCCAGTATTACTCAGGAAAATGACCCAGGTTATCCAGTAGGAGCTTTACTTTTGCAAAGTTAACAAGTCTTTTTTCATTACTGGCTGTTAGCATAGACTCTGTTCATTAAATCATGATCAAAGAGCGCTTGTAGAGATGCAAACCCACTTTAATGTATACAGATAGCTCTTTACTGTGATTTATCTTATATACTGAAGTTTTGTAAAGGTTCTACAATACTAACAGCTTTTTAATATGCTCAGCACATGTACTGAGTGATATTGTCAAGAACATCCACCTCCTATATACTGTAGGTCATTTCATATCTCGTTATGGACATATATCATGCTTTCTGTACAATTCAACATGAAATAACCACATGTGATTTTGTAGGCCTACTTCTGTCTGTATTAATACTTGACAAATAAGGAAATATTTTTAACAACTTAAGGGCAAAATAAACAATAGACATTTTTGAGTAAAGTTTTAGAAAATAAATAAATTACAGACAATATTGCAATAAAAAACAATACAGAAAAATACGAGAGACTTTTATTATTGTTTTGACAACATATATCGTCATATCGCCCAGCAGCAGTCAGTAGTAACTAAAGTATGTTAGTAATAGCATTCTAAATGTATATTTCTAAGGTGTCAGGTGATGAGTCATCAGTTTGCTGTATCAGGAAATACCAAAAGGTGTTTCGTTACTGGTCATTTTAAGAGTTAATTATCTCATTTTGTACAAGATATTCTGTTCTTAAATAAAATATTGACTTGTGTGTGATCAAATCCTATGGAGGTCAACAGGGTTATCTGTCTCTCTCCAGTACATTTAAAAGGTCTTCTCCATCTATCCAGTGATTTAAGTAGTTTTCAGTCTTTTCAGTTAAGTAGAGCTTATAGTTTTGGCTCCAATGTGCAATCAAAGAACGGCTTTATTATCTCTTATCTCTGCTCTGCTGTGGAAAACATGGGGGGGAAGCCTCTCAGAATAACTGAAGCCGTGGAATGTTTACTGTGGAAAAGTCAGGCACTCCCTGACATTTGGACACAACAGAAAAATAAAGTAATAAAGTTAAATTGGTGCTACTCTCCTGGCTAATGGAAAGGGTGAAATCCACAGAGCAGTTTGGAGCAGCTGAAACGACGTCGCCGGAGGGCTCAAAGTGGCGGTAATTAGATGTGATCCCTACCAGGCAGCTAAGATTAAACCTTTTTATCAGTTTCTCTCTAATCTATGCCGAACTTTAGGATTTGGTATACCTGCAGTGGTGCTATAGTTGTGGGAGGGGGCATCTCAAAATACTGTTACCCAGTCCCCTGGGCTTTATGGCGAGGAAACAGTTACACTGGCGAGTAATAGTATTTATCATAGGTTGGTGATGACAACTGTTATTATCTTAGTCACTAGGCTATGTGTTACATTGTTAAATCCTTAGCAGTGCAATTTTTATTTTAATCACATCTCTGTTATAGTACCATCAAATCCAATGAAGATTTTGGAAATATGAGTAGTGCTGCGTGGGTTATTCAATGACCTGTATCCATCTATAGAAACTGATGAACATGAACAAACAAACACAAGGACAATGTAACATAACAAACATACAAAAATTGACCAAACTTCTATAAACTTCTCATGATGACTTTAATTTCCATGTTGTAGAACCCCTTTGATTGATTACCATTTCGTGTCACATTGTGTATGGATACCTTTTTATATTTACGGCTGTTAATTATATTAGTTTTTTAACACATTCAACACTGTGTTGGTCCATCCTTTCTATCGCTCTCAACCCCTAGCTCAGTCCTTTTGAAGATATACATCTTTAATCTGCCACAAATATAAGCTTTCCTTTAAGATAAAACATAATAATATCCTTTTGTTTTTAGCAAACTTTTCTCATTGAGTAGTAAATTGTTTGGTATACCATTTTTAGCCATGAATTAACAACTCATTGGTGTTAAGTGTTTATGGCAGCTAAAGGACCTTGAAAGCTTCATAACAGTGTGTTTTATGTAGTTTTTAAACGGCAATACAGCTCAATGGCAGATATTGTGCATTAAAGTTTTAGCTACACATGTATCGTCCCAATGCAAATATTTGTTAGAAATTCATGTAATACAATTTCTCCAATCACTCTACTTTCCCTTTATCAGTTAAAATGGAGAGTTGTCATTTCCATCTCATGCATAACATGAGCGGGATGTTTTCGTCCTTTTGGTTCAGGGACATAAATCTTAGACTCTCTCTCTCTCTCTAGGTCAAGTATTCCATCACTGTGCCAAAACAGGTGTGTCATATTCTTGGCGAGACATGTCCAGTGAGCAGTCCGTCCTCTACAGGCTGCGTCCTTGTACGCCGTGTCACTCCGCAACGGGACCGATGTGATCGGACTGACAATGGCAACCTGTCTGCTGCTCTCTTATAATCCTACAGTAGATGCTAAAAATACAGAACTCACATTGGGGTAAAGGAATATTATGAGGCAAAAACAGGATGTATCGTTTGCAGTTGATCGTAGAAACCAGCATGAGTCATTGTTCACCATTTTTATTTCAGATTTCCAATGTTTCAAATGGTCATGATGAAGACTTCTTGTACATAAAAGTGGCCTCCTTTATGAGATGTCTTCAAGTGTACGCTGGTAATATCTATAGGTCAGATACACAGTTGTATTTTTGGACCAAAACATTACAAATACATTTGAAATCTAAAAAGAGGTGTATCATTACAGGCTTTAATGTATGTGATTTGAACACTCGTATTTTTTGAAATGGCATTATGTTGTACATTCTTTGAATGATAAAAAAGAGTTGCCCTGTTAATAATAATTATGTATTCATCTTGGCTTTAATCTTTTGGCATTTGCTCTAGTGGATATGTACACATTGTTATTAAAAAAACAAACGTAGTTCCTTATACTGTTCAACAGGACGTTATGAAAAATCAAATGTAATGGAGGCAGTGTGAAGAATATGGATCAATATCAGAACATGTACTTTCATTAGAACAGAAGCATAACATTACTTTGTTTTATCCATTTAAATCACTGTTGTAAGTCTGAATGTTCTTGTTGGTGTTACAGATAGTTTGCTATTCCTCGAGGAAAAAGTACTGTTTAAGATAACGATATGCTCTTTGCATCTAAAACATCACACAACAGTCATATCTGTAACCACGTGATTAAAGAACCCCATCACATTTTTTAAATCATAGCTACACTGGGTAATGCTGAGAGGCCTCAGTCTCCAGATACTAACATAGACTCTCCAAAAACATTACAGACGATATGTAACAAGCTGACGGCAGCACACTGTAATTGAGTGTACACTTTATGCATCGTATGTACAAAATGTTTTTTAAGAGGCGATGTGATGAAACCACAAACCACCGTAACAATCAAATAAATCTACAAAACAAATCTATACCTACTGTAGTACCGAACATGTAGAAGAGAAGCTGTTTGCGTTTTTGAACTTTGAGAATACTCTGACAATGTTACGCTGTTGATTTAGTTAGCATGTGTTGTGAATCATGTTCCATACGTTGTGTCTATGATATGTGTTAGTTGTCCCTTGTGACATTTATATATCAGCACAACACCTAGTTTTCCTGTTGTTGAACTAAAGCAGTTTACTGACTGGACGAATGAAAGCACAGTTATGCAGACGTCGATGATCCACTTTATCCCGAAAACACTCCTCTGCAACGTTGGCCGTCCATTCAGTCAAATGTGCACTGATTTGGAACGGTTCCCAAGAAGAGACATGACGCACGTGCTCATCAGATCACAGGGTTTAGCTCCAAGAAAGTGAGTCTTCCTCAGTGTGAATCTGATTCTTGAAGGACCCGAATTGCCCCTATGGAAGGCAAATGAGTCAGATCGTGGACTCCTCGGATATAATCCTCAGTTTTTCTAGGTTTGTAGCGCTCTTAGTTCCATTTCAAGAAAAATGCAAGTGTCACACTTAGGCAAATGTCTAAATCAAAATGAGTTGAATCTGATGAGTGTTGATCCGTAGTCCTCAGATCTTACAAAAGTTGGAAACCTTTGAGCCGTATTAAAGCGACGGTTAGTGCGAGGAGCACACTTGAGGGGTTTGAGAAGGTGAAGTCTGCCGCTGCGCTGCGAGCGTTGGCCTTAGAGTCAGCGGACTCGTCCAGCTGATGGTTCTGAGGGAAGAGAGCATCGTTTTGAGGTTAGGTTGAGTAGAACGATATCTAAAAAATATATGTTTTTCCTTCACTATGAAATCTACTACAACGATAGCACCATTTCTGATAATGTTGGGTTTGAAATTCAGTGTCAGTTATTTACATTTTAGATATCTTTTAGTTAATTTGTGCATATGAAGACCTGATGAATTACAACGGCAAAGCAATTATCTGCCTTTTTGTTTAATTGTCAGTTATATTTGGATGGTTAAACACGGATCACATTCTTTGTGTTTCTGCATTTGTCAGCTTTTTAATGTAAAAAAAACATGTGTCGAGTTTTGCTAGAGATATTTGGACTGTGAGAAGCAAATTTTTGGTCTTTTTAATAACAACATTTAAGGGATCCATATGTTGTATCTTACGGCCCGTCCACACTACAGCTTTGACAGCTTCAAAAACGGTTTCCAACGCGTCTGCCCATTCACTTTGAATGGGGTGACGTCACGTTACCTCGCTTTTCGCCGAACTGAATTGTGGGTAGCAGAGCGGAGCTTTCCTGGCGTTTCAGGCTGCAAAAGTTTAGCAATGTTCAACTTTTGAAGCTTCTGAAGCTTTCGGTGGAAGCGTCAGCCAATCAAATCATATGCCAGTACAAGCTCTAGCCAATCAAACCGCTGCTTGTGTGTCAGGGGCGGGAGATTCATGTGATTGGTTGTTGGTCGAGCTTCAGACACGCCCGCCGGGAAGCTTTTTTTGAAGCTGTAGTGTGGACTGGCCGATATGATATCAGAATGCTCACAACAATAATTTGCCTTACAAAAGTTCAACACTGAAACAATGAATTGAATAGATTGCATAAAACGATACTCACCACACATTGAGCAGTATCCACCGTTAGATTCAAATCCAATTTTTGGGCCTGGAAGGAAAAAAAGAAGTAAGTGACGGAACAGAAACATCGATTTTCATTCTTCGTTTGCCTGTATTTTAAGATCGCAGTCTGGCTGCAAAGAATGCTCTGAAGCAAACGGCAGACTTTCTCTTAGTGTCAGCGTAGTGGAGTGAACAAACTGTCTCTGTCTGGAGGCTGCTAAAGGAAGAATCGACTTTGAAGTAAAACAAGCAAAAATCATTACTGCATCAACAATAATAAGATGCATGATAATGCTTTCAGTGCCCACCAATTCCCATGGTTTAGACCTACATGCACCTCTTTGTATAATCCTCCTCCTCGGGCAGGAGATTCCAGTTGTTTGTGTAAAAGTGTGTGTGTGTGTGAGATCCCCAACTCAAGGTTATGACAGTTTAATACATTTAAAACTTTTCCTCAAACCTTTTCAGCCACACACAAAAATACCCACACACATTTTGTACATACTCAAACAAACACACACTCATAGATACAGATGAAGAACAGAAAATGATAAAGTGACTCCATGGTGGTTTGGGGACATTATAAACAGTCCATGCGTTGGTTTTTAAGTAGAAAGAATTCTATGAACCTGAGAGGAGTGATTCATTGCTCTATAGGAGGTCTTTTCTCCTGGAGGATATGTTTTTTTTTAACTGAAGATAAATCATATTATCGCTATTAAAAGCCAACATGATAGATTTACTCCCTTTATGTGATATCATCTCATTTAAAAATATAGCCCAATAGTATTTATCAGAAGAATATAAAAGAGGTCTAAAGTGTTGGTGAAGCCAAACAATTCCTTTGAAGCACATTTATATGGATGAATAGACACATGTTAAATGAAATGTGAGTCTAGTGTAAACAATGTCACAACAAGCTCGATGCCGCAGTTAGCTGTTTTTAAAGCTTGCGATCACATCACACAATGTTCCTCAACAGATGGATTTGTCCCAGGAGTCTAAGATGTTCAAATTAGATGTATTTTTCTTTACATTTTGAATTGGGAGCAGTAGTTGAAAGAACTCTCAGTGGTGCTTGAAATGTGGAAACTTGATCTGCTGAGAAAGATATGCAATACGATCAGTATGTTACTTAATGGACATTGTGGTGATGTCATTTTGCCGACTACTGTCTCCAAGGTCAAAAATATACTTTTGATTTGTTGGGTCAGAGCAACACAGTTCTCAAAATGATGCTCATATTAGCTTTTTAATAGTTGTGTGTCTAGTTCTAGTAATCGGTATCAACATTTACATTTTTCAAGCATGAACAGATAAGAGTTGTTTCAAAACTAACAGAAATGTCAGCAAACATGCACCTAAAAATGAAGAAAAGCGGTACACCTATACTGATACTTTTAATCATGTGTTTTTTCTTTTAATATTTCTTTTATTATCTTTCCTTTTTAATGACTGTTTTTAAATGCCATTTTCTTAATGTCTTTCATTTTTGTAAAGCACTTTGAATTGCTTTGTGTTGAAAGGTGCGTTTTATCGTACAGTATATATACAGTCTATGGTTTTATCCCACTAAAATGTTCCTTACTGTATGTCCTCTCCTCTACAGTGGAGGTACTGTAAAATCCAGAAATACAAATCAATGAAAAAAAAAAGCCTAAATTGCAAGATGTTTTTTTTTAACCCTAAATAGGTAGGAAATCACAAGAAAAAGGAAATTGGAAGATACTTTTTTAATAAAGGATATAAATAAACTTGCCTTGCCTTGCATGCACACGCTACCCCTGTGGCCCATTTGTGATGTTACTCAAATTAGCTTTGACACGAGAGCTTGGGAGACTCTGACTCCGCTCTGATGTCTCATTTTTCTGCCCCGGGGGGGGGGGGGATTCTGTGCCTTCATAGACCCCCGATCCGTCAAGGTGACGGAGCCAGACGACTGACGCGCAGACACAAAGCTCTGAATAGATCTCCCCCTGATATTAATTTAGAGTCAGGCACTTTAGCTCAGAAGTTTGGAGAGGTTTCTGATGCCTTTTTTAAAGGACAAAAAGGAAACATCAAAATCCTTTGTTGTTGTGGTAAATGTTTTCATCTTATTTTTCCTTTTAAAATGGCACTGTCCTATTGTAGGCTTCAGCCATAAAAAGAGAAAAACTCACTACAAACGAATGACTTCATAAGGATTAGCATTTTTAATGATAATACCAGTAATAAAAGTAGCTGTACTTTTTTTTCAGCATGGAAATCCTTAGAAGACTAATACAGTTTCTCTATTGAAGAGATTAGTGGAGGTAAATTGACTGAGAAATTGAAAAGTTATATTATGAATTTCCATACACTGATATGTTTTTGTCTGTAAGCATAAAAAAACGTTGCAGTCAAAAATAATTTACTCCTTGGATTAGATTTGCATCAAAATGTTGCGTGTTTCTTTAGATTAGTTTGCGTTAGATTAATGTTGTTGTGACTTTAAAATCTAATAAAAACTGATGCAGTTTCCATATCTTCTACTCTTCTTTTTTTTTAAGACGCACAGATTTAATGGTTAAATTAAATATACCATTTAAAAAAAAGTGACATCCTATATTTGAAAACAGAAACGTCACTTTTTAAACTCTCTACTTTAAATCATTTCACCTGTAAGGTCCCACAGATGTTGTATAATGAGTCGTCATCGAGGTCCAGTTTGTTCATGTCGCTCAGTAAATCCAGCCCGTTACCGGTTCGATCCTTCCCCCGCCGCCGGATGATGCTAGGCTCCAGCGCAGTGGGCTGGATCGGGGGTTGGGGTTGCCAAACTCCAACATCAGTGCCATTACCAAATGCCTGGATGGCATTACCTGCAAGAACAGTGTATTAATGAATGAGGCCTACTTGATGCTTTTCTGAATGTATGCACTATTATAGGGCAACTGTGGTTTAAGTGGATAGAGTGCTGGACTTCGAATCAGGGGGTAGCAAGTTCGAGTCCCACTGCAGTCCGCATGTTGTTGTGTCCCTGGGCAAGACACTTCACCCCAAATTGCTCCTGTGGGGATTGTCCACAGCACTTTGGATAGAAGCGTCTAACAAGTAACATGTAATGTAATATTCTGTTTAAAACTTAATGGAATGTCACTGGAAAGCAAAATAAACCATCTGTTTTCAAACATGAGTTAATATGCACCGTCCCAATGTCATTGCTTCTATGTTATAAAAACATGTAATACTTTAAGTATTATCTAACAAAATACCCTCTGAACCTCCATTTAATAACAAATTATGCGCCATCTTATAAGTTAGCAGATGCTTTAGAAATAAGAGCAAATGCCATGGCCCTGAATATTTTGTCCATGTTCAGCTTCAATAAATGATAATTGTGTAGGAGAAGAAATTACTTGACCTTTCTCAAGAGATCCTTTTTAAAAGCAGCGTCCGCCTTTTAATATTTATGATTCACAAAAAATGTACTTCATCCCTGCTTGACTTAAGAAAACGTGTAAAATAAAAGGTTGTAATGCAATTTCTATTTGACGTTTATTCTAAGATACCTTTGCACCAGCACATTTGAAATGTGTTTTGTTTTATAGTAATAACGTATTGGGCATGAGTTATTGTAAAAGCAATTTAGGACATTGCCATTCAATTTATATTGCTCTTCTATATACCCTTATGACTTGGAGTCTGAATGAGAAAAAAAAACTGTTAAAAGATATTTCTTATAACACTCAAAGTAACACACATTGTATCGAAAGTGAGAACAAAGATCATCATACAACTCCAGGTTTTATTCCTCATCTCCTAGTCTTTCATTACAAATAGAAAATGGTCAATCTGGCATTCTGTGGTGAAGAAAAGTACAAGGTTTGAACTCACGTAGGCATCTGTTGTTGGTGAAATACTCAGAGAATTTGTCACAGTCTGGCTTGCTGTTCCCGCTGCTGCTGCAGTCGCACCAGGGTGACAGGGTGATGCCAAGAAATTGCACATAATTGGGTGTCATCACTGTACCTGCAGCATAAAGGAGGACAAAACTACTTTGAGTCTTTGAAACTGTAGTCCCACTCTCACAGTTGAAACCCTCTATAACGGGACTCTTTTGGTTTCAAATGTCTATATTCAGGTCAGCCAATGAGAGTGAGATATTCAATATTACAGGGTGCCTTTATCTCCATTCTCCCCTTTGCCTTTTCACTGACGTAACGACCTGCTGCATCGTGATTATAAGCCTCCATGACTTGTAAAGTATACGTATTATATATGCCAGGGCCTGTGCAACAACATGCAAAATATTCAAGTGTTTTTAAAAAAGTTTTGGATGCTGCCTTCCACCTATTGGAGTCGACCGTTGTGACCGAACTGGGACACACGTACTTCAAGTTGAATGAAACCATTTTTGGCCAATTTTGTCATCTTGATGTAACTAAAAAAGAGGACAATTTGCCTTTTTTTTTTTTTTTTTACAGGAAGCATGGGTCGAGTAGGCTCTTAGTTATTAGCTGTGCAAGTACATGCACATTTCTGTGTATGGAGACAGAAGTGAGTGGTGAAGCCAGGGGGCCCAATTAGAGGGTGTAACCTGTGTGGAGTGCAATATGAATGGTGTAGATTAAAATGTCCGCCTGTTGAGTTTGCAATTGGTCACTGTTGCCCTGTGTTTAAATCTCATTACTAAAACTCAGCGTTGTTCCTTTTCTACATAATGGAACCCGCTGACGGCAGAGAGGCTGAACAAAAGAAATAATCACTACTCTTGCACAGAGCAATAATGAATTGTACCCTATGGATTTGCAATTCATAAACTGCGATCTGGTGCCTCAATCTCCACTGGAGAATACATGAAGTTATTTGGCTTGCTGGTTAACATCTGAAAATCATCTGTTACACAGCTTTGTATTATTATACATGCCTACAGAGAAAGATTCGCAGTTCCTGTGTAATCTTTGATAAAGCGCTATCTGTAGGCTGCACGTCATGTGACATTCGTATATGGTTTGATTTATATTTTCATATATCCTTTCTCCTATATTTTATTAAAATGACATTTGTACCTAAGTCTATTCTTTCTTTAACAAGTGCTGTTTGGAAAAGTGAATTATTTAACTGTTTGAACAAGGCCATAGCTGCACAGTGACTGTCATGGTAAAATATCACCACCATTGTTTTTAGCTTAAAGAACTAGCACATATTATGTGCAGCTCTTTTGAAAGAACAATCAACATTCTGCGCTTTAAATGGGTTTCTGCTATCTTTTGGCTTCAGAAAAACAGAATCTAATTAAAGCTTTTTACATCACCTCTAATCATGCTTCTCATTAAAAAATATTGTCCGGCAAATAATTGATTTCAAAAACTACCTTGCAACATGTTAATCTGAATGGATGTCACACACTGTTGAGTAATATCAGAGGCACAGAACAAACTGCACCAGTAGTCCAGCTTTAGGTCCTGTTACCAGTCTTATCTACACAATTCTGAGGCCAATTTTCAAATGCTTCAGAGAACTTACCAATTAGACCCGAGTAAGACAGCAGACAGTCAGCGTAGCTCTCCCTCAGACAGCCCGATATGGAGTGAGCTTCTGGCTGACAGTTACTGATAAAGTCTGCCAGCCTTGACCTAAAAACATAACAAATTAAAGTTGCTTATTTCCTCATTCTGCATCAGATATAAGCTTAACTTGTTGTTAAATACCAACTATGTGCAATATATATATACCTGGCTGCTACATCTTCAGAACTGTTACAGGATGTGTATTTTGTAAATTGTGTAATCTTTAAAAAAAAGATTGTCTTAATTTTTTTTATGCATGCTTCTTAATAATAGTAATAGATTACATTTGTATAGCACCTTTCAAGGGACCAAAGGCCGCTTTACATGGTGAACAAACAAACAAGGCAAATAATAAAGTAAAAAGTGAAATAAATAGCAGTAGGCGTGGAAGACTGTGTTCTTAGTCAACATTAAGCTGTCTTTAGCTCTTTTCCGCTGTAACAAATGTAAATGTCCCCTCTGTGGGACAAATAAAGTATTTTGCCACATTTATAATGTTCAATAATAAGTCATAATAAAAACCGACACTATTGTGAAGAACGTTAGACTGCATAAGAGTGAAGATGAAGCCCATTAAGCGTCACTTCTTACCTGCAGATGTAGTTGGTCTTGCATGAGTTCTGCAGAGACAGACAGTTGGGTTTGTCTTTGTCCGCATAGGAACAAACGGGGACAATCGTTTGCCGTCGGCGTTCTGCACATGCTGTCTGATGCCCCGAAGGACAGGCGCAAAACAGCATCCCATAGCTGTATTTAGATGGGACCTTTTAATGGAAATAAAACATAAAAAATGTCCATTGATGTCTTAAAAAACATATTTTAATTCCAATGCCACTACCACCTTTACTAGAGTAGTTGAGGAACTTACCATATCCAGTTAATAAATACCTTTTTATAGTTAAAGGTACCTTATTATACTGTTTTTCATCAATATATTATAGGTCTCAGATATATACAAAACATGTCTCTGAAGTGTTTGGCTCAACATACCAAACTGATCGTGCATTGTAGCATCCCATAATCCCCTCTGTTTCAGCCCTGTTTCAAAAGTGCTGATTCTCTGTCTGCTACTTTAGATGAAAATAAGGAGCCACTCCCAACGCCCCTCTGAGAGATATTTGCTTAAAAATAACACAATGGTGCTCTAGGACAGGGGTTCCCAAAGTGGGGGTCGCGAGATGATTTTAAAAAAAAAAGAAAAGAAAAAAAAGATATAAATAACATAATTTTTTTTAATTTGTTATTATTATCCAGTGTTTCCCCCATAATTTGATTCTATTTTTAGGGGCACTGCACCCCCCCGCCCCACCATGCAAATGAGCCATAATCTCATTGAATATGCGCATATTTTAATACATTTCAGGAAGACAATTCTGAACATTGGATAAAGTCAGGTTTGAAATTCTTGTTTCATTTGTAGTCATATTAGAATCTAAAGTTTTTACAGAAGGGATTTTGGATATCTCTTTTGATCTCTCCATAAATCAGAAAATACTGTCAAAACCCCTAAAATATCAATTTTCGCCATGTTTTTAGGTATTCAATGTTATATAATTCAGGCTATGAATGCTATATGAACAAACCCTTCAGTAAAGGCATTCAGAATATTGATAGGAATCTAACTGGAAGGTTTGGTCTATGTAAGTGCTACTGAAGTGGAGATTCCTCACTCAGAACAGGAGAAAAAACTCATTTTGAGAAAACTACCTTTAAAGATTGCAGTGACCCTGCTGTTCTTTGGATGACTGCTTGCGCCTTGACGCACGTGAAGGTATTTCATATTTCACGTGAAGGTATTTCATATTTCACGTGAAGGTATTTCATATTCAGGATCATTTGGTTTTTGTCTAACATTGCTTCGTGCAAGTGACAATTGTTGTCGTCTTCTATGTGAACGTTTTTTTTGCTGTTCTTTTTTGCCATTTTGAAATGTAAATTTCCAGCGAAAGCTAAACCAAGAAGTGTTTTAGCACATCATGTGACGCATCTGAACGAATCACGTTGTCAGAAACATTGGCAGGGACACCAGCCAATGAGATTCAGTTTTTTGGTTTAAGACCCGTTTGTACTTTCACGATTGGTTGCTAATACAAAGGAAATGACCATATTTGGATCCGATGAGATTGTGCAGGAGAGACTAAGCTTTCCAACAATACCTCTGATCACATGGTGCAAACAGCGGTCGCTGTACTTTATGTTACGTTAGAAGAGGGGGCGGATCTAGAAAAATATTCATGGGGTGGCAAGAGGGTGGCAGGAGAATTTGAGGGGTGGCATCCCCTGGCAGAAGTATATGCTGATTTTAATCGCAGTCATATCAATCAATTTTAACTTGGAAAGCCACAATATTAATATTTTAACTCAATAATATTAGGTGACATTATTGTGGCACATCAGTAAAGCCTTAAATAGAAATATATAAGGTGGCAGACATAATTTTAACTGAACAATAACTGAATAAGTGTGTCTCACTCTTAGACCAGCAGGAGTACCAAATCTATGCAGACTGCTGCAATAAGTACATTCATTAACTGCCTCGTCGATGTTTGTCTGAATTAATATGATACTATTAACAATCATATTATTCCTATCAGCTGTCAATCACTGTTATGATTCACATATTCAGGGTTATTATGAAATAAACTATATTTTTTGGAGGAGTTAATGATGAATGTTCTTCAAGATGCTTGCTCACCCTCCTTCAAATTTGAAAGACAAGTAATTACTATCATAAATCAAAAGAATCAAAGGAACAGTTCACAGGGTATATGCAGGAATCCTGAAGTCAAATGTAATACCTTTTAAGACCTTTTTAAGACCCTTTCCATACATTTTAAGACCTCATCGTAACTTTGAGTTCTAACCGGTTACATTGGCGACACACTTTACCTCACATTTACTATATTGATTGTAAGATAGAAAAACTAAACAGAGTGCAGACAGACTACTGAAGCCTCCTCTCCACATGAACTTCAACCTCTCTGTGAAGGTCAGGTTTAATGCAGTATGCTGCTTTGTTGCTTCTGTAGACTCTGACAGAGAGGTTGAAGTTCATGTGGAGAGGAGGCTTCAGTAGTCTGTCTGCNATACTCCCACAGATAGTATTTATAGGGAGCATTAGTTAAAATGAGATCAATTAGGGAGAATTTATTAGGGGACTTAATGTTAGGGCGAGTAGGACTGAGTAACATTCAAAGAGATACAAAGGTTTTTTAAATCCTCTGACACTGCAGTCAACCAGTCCCAGTTAAAATCTCCAAGTAGCACTATTTCCTTGTAGTCTAGTTGCGATAAAAGATTTGCTAGCGAAGACAAGGAGTCCTTGACAGCTGAGGGGGGTCTGTAACAGCCCACCACCATGACCTGTTGCCCCTTTGCCGCTTCTATATTTAAAGATAACAATTCGAATTGCTTACTGATAGATTTGGAAACTAATGTGGTTACACTGAACTTATTCTTAACATAAATGGCAACGCCACCACCTTTATTAGGCCAGTCGGAACGATAAACATTATAACCATTTAAGGCAATGTCAGAGGCCAAAGTAGATTTATTTAGCCATGTTTCTGATAAAACAATGATGTCAGCGTCAGTCGAGCTCGCCCAGATGCGGACAAAATGTAGTGTACCTAACAGACTGCGCACATTCAAGTGGATGAAACCCAACCCAGACCTAGCTTTAAAATCAGCAGGAGTAGCGATCTGACTAATACTACAGGGCGGACCAGGGTTAGGTTGTACATTTCCTGACAGTAATAACAAAACAAAAAACAGGCATCTTTTCCTTTTAAACCTTTTCTACTTTAGATTCAGCGGAAAAGTCTGCGAGAGTGTGATTAAAGCTTAAGAAGCAGTCCTGAAGAATCATCATCACAGGCAAACAAAAAAGACAAACATATTTTGTCGAACTGATTGCCTGTGACAAGGTAACCGGTAATTGTTTGTGTAGCACTCCCGATCCTTTGCAGGGGATGCTCACCGCGGACGGCAGAACAGACATGAATCCAGTAGACTTCTCTAGATGACTAGAAATCTTCTCACCGTCCAAGACAGCCAAAAGGCACAGCAGAGCCACGATAGTGGCCATTTCCCCAGGCCAGCACAGCATCCACGGTATTCCCTTCCCGTTATGAAGTGAAGCGGCGTCACTCACCGAGCCCGGGGCACTGGAGGTGGGAGGCCCGGAGATGCAGGGCTGAAGAAAGACAGCAGGCCTCTCCGGTGAATCCTTCAGATCCCAAAGCCAGATATATCCGGCGTGGAGGCGCTCCAGATCTCACCGCGATATCTCCACAGCAGCCCGGCGTGGCTGCGCACCTGTCTCACCGCGATGTCCCTGAAAGCACTTTTACTTAGTCAGCATTCAACAATTCACTAACACACTAATACTGTCATCCAACAGAGACTAACATTCACAATCACGCACAGAACGTTGGCCATTCCATTGAGAGCAATTTAGAGTTCATTATCTAGCCTAATGAGACTTGATTGACTGCAGGGGCGGGGATCGATTCAATTGGTGGAGAACCATCTAACACCTGATGCACAGCCCACCCTGTGGACCATTGATGATTTCACAACATAATATTTACAGACTGTTTCTAAATAACCATAGGTCATGCAGATTAATGACAGAGTGGGTAAAGATAACAACAAAGAACAGCTCATGAGTCTTGTTAATTGAGGAAGGGAAAGACAATATTGATTTGATATCAATATATAGCCAAACCCTACTGTGCTTTACAACATTTTTGAGAAACACAGAAAATACATGTGGCGTGACCTGACATTAATAACCATCCTTTATTATTATATAAACAGAACTGCAGATAGTTTTAATAGATTCTTTAAGTTTGAACCACAAATGCAAATTCTTTATTTCAACATGCCTCTCAATAAACTAGATTGTTATTCAAGAATTACATTTTACAGTTCTATATTGTTGCAGCTATCTTTGCCAAGCAGGTGGGGATAGAGCCTTGGTTAGAAAGCAGTGACTCCCAGTTAAGCCACTCCCTTTGTATCTGCAGTATGGGTTCCAGTAGCGGCTGCCGGATGAGAAACTGTAATAATCCCGAGCTAAACAGTGAAGCACCGGCTTGATAAAGGCGTTTATCAATTTACAGACCGCAGGACTTATCTCTTGGAGAGGTACATTGGAGCACCTTTGGTCCACAGTACGTTTGAAGCTCTGTAGTATTACAAAGTAGAAAAGCCCATCTCCTACAGAATGCCCTTCCTGCTGTGCTGATAGCTTTGATATCGCACAATGAGTAATCATTTGTTATCTCTTTTTTAATATATTGCCACTAATCTGAAGTACCTGCTTTTTATCGAGGATGAAGACTGTACTGTACCGCACTGAACTCCCACTGAGAAATGTTATTGTATAGTAAGGATGAGAAGACTGATGGTATAAGATGTAATATCTCTTCTCCTGTTTTTCTTGGCAGTATATTAGCTGCACTCGAGACATTTAAACCCACTCTACCATTTTCACAGAAGCAAAATATGTACTCTTCAAATTGTAATATCTTCAACCATACCCTTGCCTATGGAGGCTGTATGCAATCTAGTTTCATTCCAGACTTGCACATGTTTGGTCAAAGTTTGACGCCATCAACACATATTTTCAATGTCACATTTCAGGTGGTTAAGTAAGAGAAAAACTGGAGGAGGTAAATTAATTCAATCAAGTAAAAGCACACAAAATAATTATATAATAAAATAATAAATAAAGACCGTAAAGTATGTTTAACTCAAAATGGAATTGAAAATGCAGTAAGGTTGTATGGGATTATTTTAGGAGACAGTGTTGGTCAGCCAAATTAGGTGGATTTGTTTGATATGTGAATGTAGAATATGTATAGCTCTGATATTTGTTACCTATGCTCTGACACAATAGAAATCACTATGCTTGGCACAGTAGCGAGCAATAGTTCATTAAAGTACTGGATACAGCGCATTTAAGAACTTTAGGAAAGTAATTATTTAAAAAAAATGGAATTAGGAGGGTCCATCCATCCATCGATCTTCTCCCGCTTATCCGTGGTCGGGTTGCGGAGGTAGCAGTTCCAGCAGAGAGCCCCAAACTTTCTTTTCCCTGACCACATCAACCAGCTCTGACCCCTTGGTCTCTTCCCAGCTGGACGTGCCTGGAACACCTCCCTAGGGAGGCGCCCAGGTGGAATCCTTACTAGGTGCCCGAACCACCTCAACTGGCTCCTTTCGACATGAAGGAGGAGCGGTTCAACTCTGAGTACCTCCCGGATGACTGAACTTCTCACCTTATCCCTAAAGGCCCTGACACACCTACCCGATTTTGGGAGTCAGAGGCAGTCGGGCATTCGCGGCGCCCTACTCAGGTTGGTGTGTCCCGCACCATTGTTGCTTTATGGCACATTTTCACACCTCCCGCGAACATGTTGAATCGGCCAAAGAAAGTCGACCAAAGAAATCACTCTTATTGGCTGTTGCCTCTTTTGAATGACGAATACACACTACCGCTGCCTGCTGGTAAGGACAGTTATTGCCACTCGTCGACTGAAGTCTTTGCGGTGTCTTTGTAGGCGGGAGGCGTAGGCGGACGGCGTAGGCGGGCGGCGACGCAGGCGGCGTAGGCGGGCGGCGGCGCAGGCGACGTAGCGGACGTAAAAGTCGGGACGCCTTCGGTACGCGTGCTTTGGTCTCAGGTTGGTGTTTAGCAGCCTTAAGGGAGACGCCAGCCACCCTGCGGAGAAAACCCATCTCGGCCGCTTGTATCCTCGATCTCGTTCTTTCGGTCATGACCCATCCTTCATGACCATAGGTGAGGTAGGACGAAAATGGCCTGGTAGACAGAGAGCTTTGCCTTCTGGCTCAGCTCCCTTTTCGTCACAACGGTGCGGTAAAGCGACTTCAGTACCGCTCCTGCTGCTCCGATTCTCCGGCCCATCTCATGCTCCATTGTTCCCTCACTCGAGAACAAGACCCCAAGATACTCGAACTCCTTCACTTGGGGTAAGGACTCATTCAGGAATTTGGAGGGTATTTAGCTAAANGAGTTGCATTAGGTAACGCGAGATACGGCTGATACTTGCGCATTAGTTTCTGTTATGGATCAGTATCAACAGTCCTGCCAGTAACGTTACTATATTATCAATGCTACTTTAGTTATAGCCTGATATATGATTGCTAACTTCACAATGTTGTGATGTGACGTTAGCTAACATTCTGTAGCTAACACCGGTCACTCACCAAGATAGCTGCCCAGTTCTCCACTGGTTCTCCTCACACCACAGCTCAATTTCTCTCCGATGGCCGTTATTTCTTCTAATCCTTGGCTGCTCCTGGTCTCTTGGACGCCTAGCAGGCTCATAATTATAAGGTTGTGGTCCTTCATATGCATTCGAATATTCATGTTCAACTTCTTCTGTGTCTCCTGTGTCGAAACTAGCATTGGGATCCATGTTTATTAATACGTTACACCGGCCGCTCTCCCCCTTGTGTCCCCCGTGTTACGTCACACGCGGGAGGTCACGTGCCGAGGCTTTTTTATGCGGAAGTGAACATTTCTTACAAAAACGACGCCAGATGTCACTGTAGTGTATATTTCTGTATATCTTTTTGAAAATCTAGTGTATTCATCATTTTCCTACACATTTATTCACAGGTGTCTTTAACCTGGAAGTTGCTCTTTAATGAGTGAGACACACCGGAGTTGAGGATCTGTGGGGTTTGTATGTCGATGTATGGGAAACACTGTATATTATTAATAATAACATGTGCAAAAAAAATATTTAGAATAATAGGTGACCTTTAAGTTCTGGTAAGTCACTGTGACTTTTTCAGAGCGATTGTGTTCAAAAGTTTCAAAGAAAAACAATTTGACATGTAGTTTTGATGTTGATTTTAGCAGCAACATCAAACGCACACAAAAGCAGAACATAGCGCTGAGAAATCACATGCCTAATTACCTTGTCAAAGAACTGTCGTAGGGCCTTTTGGCATTTGCGCTTGTTGCAGACCTCAGACACCGACACCCTGCTGGTGCACGGGTTGATGTAAGATGAGCGGTACTTCTTACATGTGTCATTCAGGTTACACGCCTTGGCAGCATTCAGACAGTTGTTCTGCTTTGTAGACGCAGGCTCCACTGAGGAAGAAGAAAAACGCATCAATTCATATTTCATCATGTAAGATGTATTGTACAGTTTCTCGCATCATGAAGGATTAGTGCTTCAAAGTGAATTATATGAGGGGATACAGTGCAGCCAACAGTGCAGCCAAGAGCTTTTCTAGTGAAAAAGAGAAAGAAATGCTCCGCAAAGAAATACTGTTGTCCTGCAGGGCGATTTTTAAAAAGGGATATTTCACTCATAATCCATATTTTCAGCTTGTAAAAGTTCCATTACATCTGGATGTGACACTGACAGTTTATTTACATTATACCTGGTAACAATGCAAATCTCCATTCCTCCAGTCATAAGAGAGTATCTTTGAGGTGCATTGGAAAAAGGTATTGAGTTGATAACATTTAAATATATTTAGCAACTATGGAAATATCCAAATGATGAATTATCCAAAATGATTAGAAGAGACTATTCGTCTTAAAGTTATAACCAGAATAAATCTTTACAACATTTTCAAAAATGTCCCTCCAGATATATATATTTTCTATATTTTTTAACAAGTTCCTCATAATGTTATACTATGCATTATTGACAATTAAATAGAGCAACTGAGCCAGGTTGAACTCACTCATGCTTGTATTTCCAAACATTATATAGCAATCTTTTAAAGGGGCTTCATTATGAATTATTGCACCAATGTGTTGCTCCAGTTGATTCAGATGTGTTGCAGTTGCTTTGTTACACATCTGAACTCTCTGGGAAAAACAAAACAAACATTCAACGTGAAAAAAACCTGCCCAGACTGAGTGCATTTCCCTGCTTCAAGGTAACGTAAAAGTCACCCATCTTTGCTTCCATCCCAGTTTGCCTGCCCTTCCATCACATCACATCAAAAGCACCCCATGGCCCACATAATGACTCCCTCACATCTCATTTTTCTTATTTGTTGGTATAAAGTCCTTCCTGCTCCAGCGAGTCCTGCACAGCAACACAAACTGTATCCTCAGCCTCGACATGGAAGGGTGAATTCTGTAATTCTGCCTTTTGAGGTGGAATTGAAGCTCACTGCACTCTTTCATGCACCGCAGAATGAGCCATGATTACATCTGAATGCATTGTTGAACCTTGGGTTAATCACATATTACAAAACCCATTACTTACATCTGACAAGTGCCTAGAGATGTGGGCCGTGATCCTTTAGTGGTTGTTTGTAGGTCTGGGGCCATAGGTGTGACAGTTCTACCTCAATTACAGTTACAAAGAGAGACATGCTCTCTCTGGTCTTAAAAACACACATTTTAAAAGCAACTACTTGTGGATTAAGACATAATTGTATACATCTAAGTATGTGGATGTAGAAGGCGGCCTGAGCTAAGTGTGAGTAAGAGGATTGGAGCTGTAGGTCACAGTGTGACTCCATAAAGACGCAGCACCCCACGGCAGGAGAAAACCTTTTCTATCTGGAGCATTTTTGCATTTAATAAGCCAATTATGGGGTCAAATATTCTCAGTTTCAAGGTTACAATTCATATTTAAATGTCTCTAAGATCACATTGAATTCAGAGGGAGAGTTATGACATTGTTGATGTGGCAAAGTTCAAAATTTACTTTTATTGAAATCTCCCACAAAAGAAAATTGAGAGCATTAGTAGTAGCAAATTCTAGAAATGTGCTCAACACATGCTGGTCTATGAAGTTATTTAACAGTCTTAAAAACAGGGCTTTGTTGGACATTATTATTTGTCTGTGCTTTGTTCTGTGCTGCTTGCACTGATTGTAATCAATAGAAAAACACTCTTTTCTTGTTTCTGTAATCCTCTCACTTTCTTAAAGTCTCTATGGTCATGTTTCTCTTTTAAAATGCAGTGAGTGAAGCCTGACATTTAAAAAAACAAATCAACCACAAAGAGGTCATTTGTCAAAAATAATTATAACACGACTGTCCCAACATGTAAACCCGGAGTATATGTTAATAACTCTTAACTAAACATTATTCTAGTTTCTTGTATAAGAAATTTATTTACCTTGAAGTGCATTCCAAGAACTGTAATGCGATATGCCCCCCCTTAAATATAACATATCTTGTTCAAAGATCCATAGGCTTAAAGAAAAACAAAACTCACTTAGCCTTCTTGAGTTGCACCCCTGAGCAAGGCCACCATGCTGCCATTGATGTGGACCACAAACTAAACCAGAGTATCAAACACTGGAATCTGACCCTTTGACCTCTAATTGATATATACAAAAGACCTTTTTGAAGGACCGCCAGCATGGTAGGGTTAAATGTATATCTCAAAGAAGAGGTTAATTATGGTGTCCTGGGGGCGTGCATTCACTAAAGTAAAAATATGAGAACCAAACTTTTCTATTATACAGCATCCAAGAGTTACAGTGTCTGTAAGGCCCTCGATTATGAACGTTTAGCAGCATATATAACGTTTTTATATTTAATTACAAACAACACTTCAAATTAGTGAGCTTAAGCATGTTCCAAAGCTTGATTGACACATGGCTAGCATCTTTGTTTAGCTTTTAAACATATGTATCAGGACTTAAGTACACATACTAAAACAGCTGTTAGACAAAATAAGCACTTCATAATAAACAAACTAGGATTGTGCAATTTAATGATTTCTTTATCGGCTAGTTGAATCATTGTTTAAGCTATAAAAAGCCAACAAAAATTACAAAACTCACACTGGTATACGAGCTGCAAATGATGCCAATTAAATGTCTGAACAGGGCAGGTTTAGATGGATTATCATCACTTCGCACATGATATAAAAAGCACCAAATGAATTTCCTGAACTGATGCCACCATTCAACAAACTATAGAGGGGGTGAATTGGGTCTGACAATATCAACGTCGTATTGTATTACTTACAGAAAATAACTAAATGCCACCTTTTGCCATCTAATGTTCTCTTTTGTCAGTTTTTGTATCTGTTAACCTCAGCAGCCATGTATTATTGAGAAAATGGCTTGAACTAACTTCAAAGCCTGCTATTCTCCTTTCCCAGAGTGATGACAAATTAATTTGCCAGTCATTATCTTAACTACATGTTTTTCAAAGGATCCAATAAATCCATGTCGGAACCATTATGAGCGTCTGACTAATATCATCATTTGTAGTTTGTAAAGAACCATTTTTGGTTTATTTATATTGGTTACAGTAATTGTGATATGAATCGGCTCTCAGCGAAGAAATATTTAGAATAATTCAAAAATGAGTTGAGTTGTAAAAAATAACTGATAGGTGTGGCAGAAGCAGTAGAGCTGGTATTAAACCTCCTTTCTCTATATGGTTGAATTCCATTGTAGCAATTCTGGATAAAAACGTTCTGAAAAGCAACTGCTCAAGCTTTTCTTTGTAATCCCAGAATATGTATAGGAACATGGTGTCATGGAATTTTTTATCTACGTCTGCCATGTAAATCCTCCTATATGTAACACAGATTAGAGTAGAGTATTAGTGCGTCCAAACCTCCAGAGCCAGCTGTGTGTATGGAGATCAGTAGAAGAAGTGGATTTAAAGTCTTTCAATATGGAGCCCACTTCATATGGTCGGTTAAAACTGATCAGCATTGTTGAGTCCTGTGGCTCACAACGATGTTAAAGAACAGGGCTGTGTATTTTAATAAATATATTTGTTAAGGTTTCTAATTGTATATTTCATAACTCCATCCAATTAGTTATTCATGTATTTTAAGTTAAAGCATTTTATATAATAATTAGAATAAGATCAATGGATTTTTGATTATATTGTCCTTTATCAACAGTTCTGTAACTGTATTTTTAACAGGGTCTAAATCAAGCATTGTGTTAAATGCAAAATTACTATTTCTGCCTCAATGAAAATATGTATTAGCCTTTCATTCCCTTTCTTATGCATTGTTTCCAGGTATCAAAAACCTACCTTTTTATGCAGATGATTCATGATTTATATATGGCGCATATTATTTTCCCATTGGTCTATTTTGAATGAAACTTTTCTGGCACCTGAATCCAGCTAAAGTATGTATATTATGTATATTTGCCATGTAATGTTTAAAAGCTATGTCCAAACCTTAAACATGTTATCTTTATTTACCTAAAAATGCCCTATCCCACAAACTGCAAGACAACTATATTGCTATATAGTCTTTGAATGCTGTCCAGATTAATGCCATAAAATCCTCCTTTACAATGTATCACTGCTTTATTTAATCCTTCTAAACCTATCCCTCCACTTAGTGCCCTCTTTGTCATCTCCAATAATGGAAAACAGCGATGGTCAGGGCGTATTCCTTCATGGCACCCTGCCTCCTATCAGGCTCCCTGCCAGCACCGCTAAATCCACGCCAAAGTCTCAGTATTTATGACCAGACCCAAGACCCATTTATAAAGTGCACCCATGTAATTAGCAAAATCTCACTTAGTTCATACCGCACCAGCTATTCCTCCTTTTATTTCCATTTAATCCTCCAGGTAGTCATCCTATATTAATTCAAACGGAAGTGAAATACCTCCTGCATGTCTCAAGTGGGCCATGTTCAGAATGATTCTAATAGAAGATAAGATTGTTTTAAGATGACTAGATACATAGCGCTGTTATGACTGCAGGATATCAGAGCAAGAGCACGAATCAATGCCTTGTGTTGTTCATAAAGTCAGTTATGAACTTGCTAAATAATAATAGGGGGGTCTTTTTTCTTCCCTTCTACTTTTAAGCATTGATAGTCATTAATGCATCAATCTGAGAGGTGTAAGGGAAAGTCTGAGGCACTGAGAGGATGTCACTGTCTATGTAAGGGAAAATGTGCAGGCAGGGTGATTTGCATGTAGATGAAGGTCTCTATGCAGCACAAATGCACATAGTATGAATGATGAAGTGTTTGTGTACATACGTGCTTGTGTGTGGGTGCAGGGTGTGGTTAGCTGTGCACGTCAAATACTTCCACGCCTGACCGAAAACATCATTTGCAGCCGACAGCGTTTTATTTTCTTATCTCAAAGTCATGATTAGCCATTGCTTGCATCACCCATGGTTGCATATCTACTAACTAGGATATGCATTTGACACGATATGCTTACTAATAAATAAGATAAAGTTTGCCACTGAATGCTTAAGTTGTACTATTTGATTACGCAGCATCTAAGTACATTTCAAACTTGTAATCCATAACTTGTGTCTATTATTGGGTTTGGAGCTCCCTCTGGTTAACTCAGTTGGAACAAATGGTGTTATTCTGCGGTCACAGAGGGGCAGAAGGAAATCAAAGTGTGGGAAAGGAAATGCCTTCCGATGATTCGCTGATACGGCTGAAAGCAGTCTTGTGTTTAAAGGATCAGCAGATTAAAAGACTGTCTTCTATACTCTGATGTTCAGCTGGAGCAGTTTGTTCATATTTACTTCATGGTCTGATCGGACCAATGGCCGAGGACAAAGACAACAGAGGCTGATTCTGTTGCTCCGGGCAACCACTGAATTATTCTGGAGATCTTTGCAATGGAAAATCATCATGCCTGTCTTCATCTCTTGTTCACCGACTTGAATCTCTGTTGGACTACTGATGAGGATAGACTGGGAGGAGTGGGGAACGGTACTGGGGTCAGTGGTAGGGTCAGTACACGTGAGTTAATCCTACAAGTAAACTGAGGATCTGGTTCGAGGGTTTAAAAAAAGAAGTTTGTCACTAAAACGAAATGTATGATGGTTATATCATCATAGGAACATGAGTGGCAGGAATGTATTAATAGGAATAGATTAGAAGTGGTTTGTCTGCACATACAAATGGTATTAATTAAGTCCCTAAGACTGGTCTAAATTGACATATTCATATTCAAATAAGCACTAATTTAGCTATTATTTCATTGTTAAAGGGAAGCAGTGAGACTTAATTCCCTTTCTTATTCTTAAATGTAGCATGTACACTCCAAAGATTTTCCTTGGGATGTAATCTGCTCTTACATCAGTGGTGTCAGACTGGTTGAGGAAATGCACAATCCGTTCATCTTGTCTCTTAAAATCTGTCTAATTATAAGTTGGGAATGTGGTTGTACAAGATATACCCTTCAACAATGTTTTCTTAACTCTCGCTATGGGATTGCAAACGAAGCATAACAGAGAAGCTAGAGTTACATCTGGAATCACCTAAAGTTGTAATAAGATCAGTGGAATTTAGCAAAGATTTTTTATTTAAGCTTACATAAAGATTATATAGACATAAACACACAGTATGTTGTACAGAAGCAGTTTTTCTTTCTTTCGTTTAGAGTTCTGTAGTCACCTCCTTCCCTCAGTCGGCGCAGCAGCATTGTAACGTCTCTGAAAGGCACTTCATTAACTTCATTGATTTCTAAATGACGCAGCATTTAATTCAGCTGTTTCTGGAGACTATATTTGAGCTGTTATTGACTTGAATGTCACTCCTTTCAGTTTGAATTAACAATGTAATAACATATTGGAAGTGACGCTTTCTGTAGACACATATGACAAAGTGACTCAGTGAAGGTAGAATTTTAAAAACTGAGCACAACAAAGCTAGTCCACCTTAAAACTCAGCCCACCTTAAGTGAGACTTGTTTTGCCAGCCCCCTTCACTTTAATCAGTGGGTGGCCAGCAAGACACTTAGCACAGAACTTGGCTTGGATCATAAGTAGTTGTATTTATGACACAACAAATAGGAAAAGGTTAATCAGCAAAGATTGAGCTGTCCAGTTCATAACATGAACACTTCTGATTAATAGCATGGGTTGCGGATTGATTCAATATTAGATGATGATTGAGGAATAGCAGTAAACAATGGCGAACAACATCTCTGTGGATGCTGGCTAGGATATGAATGCCTATTGTTTCGTTAAAAAACATGTCGCCAAATAAGTAAAGTCTGTGTGGAAAACACTGCTTTGGTTTAACTACTGTAATGACATTCCCATCAGCCTCAGCTGTAGGGCATGTTAGCTTGGTGTATTCAAATGGTGCTTCACATCAGCGTGATGGCTTTTTCATTGTGAACATACTGTAGCCACTTAGCTCAAACACTGATGTACATCCTCAGAGAGCAGTAATCATGGCTATACTGTAGACTTGTGGTCTTGTTGATTTATTATTGCTATTTTCATTAGTAATGTCATTTATATGAGAAGATATTACATCATATTTAATTAAAAAAAATGGGGTTATAAGGAAGTTGAGATGCATCTGCTAATTCATATATATTACATATAATGATATATTTTTGTATATATTGCCTCAATGTATACAGTAGTAACAAACATTGATTTTCAGCTTGATTTTCTACTACTGCATTTACACTGCGCATTGCCTGAGGCCTGGTTTAGTTGCAGAGAGGAATGAGGTCACTTATGGCAAATGGATTCCTGATATTCAACCCAATAGGTGGTTTATTTCTTCATATAGCCTTTGACTTTTTACACAGCTATACATTAAACTGGCTACTCGGCTGCATCTCAATTTATATTGCTCATATATTCACAAATACATTGGTGATTATTTATGGCACCAAATAGAGATTCACTAGTTAAACTGCCATGTCTGTATTAGTCCTTGACTGTGAGTGAAGAGCACGTTGAGGATCAGATTTTCTTTTAATATCCTAGAGATCAAGATCAAAACATTTCAAATTTTTGTTTGGTCTACAAAAAGCAAACGTGTTGTTCTTGTCCTCTAGTAACTTTTACTAGTACTCTCATTATCTGAAAGCCTTGTGAAACCACTCTTCCACTTTCAGCTTTGTTGCAATTTGTCTTAGTCTGGCATTGCTGTGGAGAAATCCGAATTCCAATAAATATTTCTTTACTCTGTGTTTGAAATACAGTTTGCCATTATGTCATCGCGTGTGGAGCAGGGCCACTTTGATACGCTAAGTGGATTCAATCACAGCGAGAGCCAGACGGAGAGAGGGAGAGGGAGAATCAAATGACCATTTCTTTTCCACTGGAATGGTAGCTGGCCGGTGCAGCAGACGCCCTCCTGCAGCCAGAAAGCCAAACACTGACGATAGCCAGAGTGCTGCACTTGTCACACACAGCTCTTGTTCTATCAGTGCCATTGAAGGCAGACAGATGGTTAATTGCTTCTCTGTGTGTGTGAAATCTAAATATGGACCTGCATATATATAAGTCCAAATGCACTCCTTTGACATTTGAAAGCATCCACTATACCATATACATTCGCAACAACAAACCGCAACATATCTGTTTGGCTTTTTCTGTTTTTTTCACAATCAACACATTAAGCTCTGCAAGCTCCTGGTGCTCGGACAACACAGGCTTTGCTCTAAAAGGCATAATTAATTCAAAAATACCTCTTAAATGCTACTTCCAGTGTTATTTCAGTGGAAAAAATGGAAACCCCTCATCATCGCTTTTCGAGCTGAAAGTGAAATATGCTAAATGACTCTGCTTTGTATACGCTGGGTCACAGTGGCAGATAAAAATCTTTTGTGATAGATAATGGGCGTTGAAAGCTGCAGCCTGAAACCAGACGGCAACAGAAGAGTGGTTGTCAAATAGTGACAGATTTGCAGCAGTGAGTTGGTGATTTAAACCGGGTTTAGAGTACAACTGAGAATTAATGGCTCCGTGTGTGCTGTGACTTAACTTTGCACAATGTCCAAACTAAAACCTGAGGAATGTTGGCGACGTGAAAGCAGCTTCTTACCTGCGATGATGGGGGCCAGGCGGAAGATATCTGAGAGACGGCTATTGACTGACTCATATGGAGAGTACTCCAGTAAATCATTACCTGCATGGGAGAGAAAAGAACTGTCATCAATATGAGCTTGACATTGTGTGTATGCAAACATGTGGTGTGCGAGGATGGTATCTGATACACTTGAACATTTTGTCAATTACACTATGAATCCCTGTGAATTGCTCATTGACCTACGTGGTTGTTTGGTAAATATGAGTATACTGTTGTGTCATTGGACAATAGTTCTCATGAAGTAGTTTGATCTTATGTTACAAGCACAATACGATATGAGATAATTGCTTACTGCAATCTGATTCATTCTGGGATTAGTCAGTGTTATCAATCAGCAACTATTCTAACTTGACCGAAATACACGTTTTTAAGCACTTTCTTTGAGTATAAGCCACTTCTACTCTACTACATTTATTTCAGAAACAAATGTGGTGCTTTTTTGCTTCACTGCCTTTATCTGACAATTTCTTTGCAGTTCAATATTTCACATATAAAGTGAACAGTATGGGAAAAATGCATTATTGAAGATTAGACCAAGCAGTTGTTTTATAGATCCACCTTTGCCAGATACAGCAGTGGTAATTACCCAATATAAGCCTAATGCTTTTTACATACAAACCGAAATGTTCTGATGTTATGACTGTACTTAATGGTCAAATCTAAAAGGAAGACTGCAATAATCTTAATACTTCTTCTAGCACTTATACATTAAAAGGTGTATCTTATGAATCAGTGCATACCCTGTAAACTTTGATAAATGCTCCAGAAGATCCGGAGGCAGTTCTTCTCCTTCTTCATGCCTCTTCTACACCTGCAGTTGTTCAGCGTGCTCTGCCTCATGGCTTCTATGGCGCTGCGGCACTCGCCCTGCGCCTCGGAACCTTGCACCGCGCTGAAGTTGCTCTCCCTGCCCGCCACACACTGCCTCATGGTCCGGTACCGGGTGCTGCAGCTGTACTCCTTCAGACACTGCTCGCTGGCCTTTACGCAGTCCAGGCGCACGGGCCGGGAGGACGAGCTGCCGTCACCCTTCAAGGTGAACCCGGAGTCTGGGAGCAGGAACAGATTTGTGATCCAGATGTGAACTCATTTCTTAATTTGTTTCTATACACCAAAAGGTAATCGATCAGTCAATTAGCAATATTTACAAGAGAGTGGTTGATAATTTTGTCAGATGCACAATGACACGCTTCCCTAATAATCAAAACATATCATACGTTTGGCCATTTGGCTAGAAGTGCCCTATTCCAACCACTGTCTGCTGCGTTTATTGTGTTAAACTTTAAAGGAACAGGTGCAGTTTTAAAATATATTATAGCCAATATAATCAACAGATGAAAGCGTAACTTACCCGGGAAGGACAAAATCATGACAAAAGTTATTAAAAACATTGCGCTTTTTGAAGTGGTTTTTAAAGAGGGGATTCAAATAAAAGTTGTCACACAGATCCGCTTTTCTTCGGGTTGTACATCATGTTAGTTAAGGTGATGATCCGTCCGCTAGATCCAACAGTGAGAGTCCAAACTCTCCACCCGAGTCCACCAGCTAAAACCACATCGTGCAAAACTGTCGGACTTTTGGACGATTGAAAAAAAACACGCGTGACACAGAGAGGCGCGCTGGTGGTGGACCATTTCCACTTCACTCCGCTCACATCAACTCCCACTCAGGCTGTCAGTGGGTTGGAGGAAAAAAACTTTACACCCGCGACCGAAAATATATCACAATGAAACTCTAAACCAACTTAATAAAGGAATGCATTCCACTTTAAGTGTCCATAACTGCCCTTATTGGACTGTGTTTAAACGATACATCCTCTAAAAGCTGGAGAAATCCATCCCGTTCCGCAGGTGCAAAGACAAAACAACCCCGTTTGATCCGGACTGTCCTCCGCTCTGATGACAGAGAAGTGAGAGGCTCGAGATGCAACGCGTGAGGGCGTGACGTCATGAGACTATGCGCACAATAACCTCAATAAACCCATTAACAGCCTCCATTTACATCAGCCTGCTAAAACACTCAAAACAAATTGATGGCCAGCAGCGACTATGTTACATATGTAGAACATTTCTGCTGGATCAAGTTAACTTATTAACTCTGTGGAAATTCAACATTTATAATAGCCCATTATGCATTTTATGTAACCTGCAGGCCAGCACAACATGAGAACCTAACCGATTTATGTAATATATTTCCTACTTGAACAGCTAAATTGCAGCCATTTTTAAGTGTTTCAGTATCTCACTGAAGGCACTCTTCAGCCAAGGTATTCCATATGTATAGATAGGCTGCAGCCCTTTGATTTAAGAGAGTGGGTCGCCTGCAATTGTGTTTTTTGTTGGAGGTTTAAACATTTCAAGGTATTCAATCTCCAAAATAGAAAGTGGTAAGTGGAATCTGGCTGAAAAAAAAAAATGACATTGCTTCTTTATCTAAAATTGCAGTTACCGTATAAATTGTAATATCTGTTGGCAGAACTTTTTCTATCAAAGTTTGTTTTTCTGCCCCGAGAAATTAGGGGGGTTTAGGGAAGGAGTGGAAAAACAAGACGTAGCACTGAATAATTCACTTGGTAAAGGATTTTGTGTATGAATGCTACCTTAAAATACTGTTTACACAATGTTCTGCTTTTATATGTTCTCATGCTAACAGAATGTTTTCCACTTAGGGACCAGTATGAAGAAAACAAATCAAACCGACTCAACAAGTTGGACAGAATGGATAGTGCCTTGCTTTAGGGTTACCCGTTAGTCATAGAAGTTGGTGACCATCCCTGAAAAAGTAAGACCACCCATGCTATTATCAAGAAATAACTAAAACATCAGCCTTGTTTCTCACTTCACATACATGCAATAAATGATAAAAATACAAGATGCTTCAGGATCGGTGTCCTACCTATTAGATATTTGTAAATACAACTTTATTGATGCTGTAATGCAATTATACCCAATTAACAGAACAAAGCCCCTTCTGTTCCAAACCACCTTTCATTTAGTAATTATCCTATATCCTCTTTGGTTTGCTTTCGGGCATCATACGCCCAGAGCAGCACAAGCATTATCATCCCCATGTTTGAAAACTAAATGGTGACGAGACAAGTTTAAGCAAACGACCAGTCAAAATCGAAGGATCCAACGTGTTTTTAAACGGAGCAGAAATAGAACTAGTCTCCCACTTCAAGTATCTTGGAGTCATACTGGACTCGAACTTGACTTTTAAGAAACATATATCCAATACTAAATTGAACTTGCAAAGTTTTAAACAGATTAGACCGTTCTTAACTGTCAATGCTGCAAAGTCAAACCTCCACTGTATGATTCTATCCCACATTGAATACTACTTTACAAACTGGTCGTTTGCTTTTGCCACAAACCTGAAACCGATAGAACAGCTGTACAAGAGTGCTATCCAGGTGTTTGAGAGAAAGCCTTATTCATACCACCACTGTACCATCCTTGAAAAACACAATTTCTTGAGCTTTGACAATTTCAAGTCTTTTAAAAGTATGTGCTTTATTTATAAATGTGTACATGGACTGCCCCCCCTCCCTTAGGGGAATTCATCCACACAGAAGAAAAATATTGGGGAAAAATAAAACATTTTTATTTTTAAGCTTTAAGTCAGGGTGCAAAACTAACTTTTTTATACACCAGCCAAAGTTGAATGTTCTTATTTTATTTAGATTATATATTTGTTTAGCAAGTGAGTGACTCAAATGCTCTACCCATTGGCAGTAATGGTGCAAAAATAAATGTTTGATTCAGGTTTAATATAAAACGTAAACCTCTAAAATTTTATATAAATAGCCTGTACAAATGAAAAGAGTCGAGCAAAGATTTCTCAAGCAAATTGAATCGATTGGAGCAGGACTGATTCATTAATTGTGAGTGCCCAGCAGTGGATTACATTAGTATCATAATAAAAACTAATTTGGGTAAATGTAATTCATGTCACACTTCCCATCCTAAGTAAAAGGAAGCCATTAAAGACATTGATTTGTCTATCTATTGTGCAGGCTAATACAAAGATGAGAACAGCTTCTGTAGACCTTATCACAGAAACATCCTTCAGCCTCATGCAGCGCCATTGGAGATTTTTCTCGGGCAATTTGTGTTCAGTTGTATTTTTAACCACGTGGCAATTCGTCCTCTCTAATGAAGTGTTTAGAGATTATTGTATGGGCTCTTGTAAATGCATTGTGCTATTTGACCGATACGTCAATATCTCTAGCCTGAGCTGAGCTGACCATTAAATATGTATTTGCTTGTTAAAAAGGAAATCTTTGTCCACATTTAAAACCTCAAATAATTTCGACTGACTTGACAAAGCAACAATACTTACATCATACAAATAATAGGCCAATATTATGTTAACTTGCATTATCACCACCTCTCAGTTAAGGATTATTTATGACCCTGTAGCTAAATAACCACACAATGATATAGTGTTATAGCTTTAGGATGTGATTGATTCAATCCCCAGTGGAGGTGAGGAAGCTATCCATGTTAAGTTTTCCAGTGACAGTAGCTAATGTTGTATTTCCTGCATATGATATGTCCTACTTAAACAAATTAAAAATCTATAGGGAGTCAGAAACAGGAAAAGGCTCGAGCTCCATTCATGCCAGGACCCTTTATTACCTTGCAAAAAGCTCTCGCCTCAGCATTATCCATCCCTAGCCCTTTATGGTGATCATTCATTTGATGTGTCCCCTAAGAACACTGAAACCTTCTCTGCACAGGAACGCTTGCATGATGAGATTTATAAGGGGCTAATCAATATTATTGTTCTGTGTATATCACCAGATCGACACTAACCAATTACCGGGTCCCTAGGCCAGCCCCTGCACCTTTTGACGGGATGCTATAACTCCATTCATGTTAAAAGGATTACATTGTCTTTAAAAGCCCAGTCAGTCATTTTGTTGTTCATACAAATTACGTTTATACTCCCTATGAAAAATTGAGTGTGACTTGATCCAAGTTATCTTTGCGTTTTTAATTGAAAATAGATAAGGGAATTGTATGATTTTGATTGACATTTAAGCATTTAACTTATCCTAGTATTGGAGCAGTGGGCAGATATTACAAATCAGTGTGGGGGTCTTACACCTTGCTTAAGGGCCCTCTCAAAGTACCAATGCAACCTACAGTGGGACTGGAACTGGCAACCTTCTGCTTCCCAAGCCGATTACAGACTGAACTGCCTACCCATATTTGATAAACTAGTTTGATTTATGATTTATTCAAACACTCCTACTCTCAGCCCCTGTCAGCTTGAAAGCTGTTAACTGCATGTTTTTAGACGCTTCCTCAAATCTAATCTCTGGTCAGGTTTATTTTACTTGCATTGGATTTCAATGGTGACTAGATTTTCCTGACATTGACACTTACAAACACATCAATAGAAACGTCTCCTGCAGCATAATCCCCTCCATCTGCATGCTCACCATGTTCCCAAACACCCACAGTTGTGCCAGAGTATGGCAGAATACACAAACTCACATCAATGCCAAAGATGTGAATGGCATGGATGTGCGTAAAGACCATGAAAACAGAAGAGTGGAAGAAGCCATGTTTTGCTCAGTGTGCTCCAAAGGCTTGTTATTCCGCCAGATCCCGAGAACACTGTGTTGGAAACACACTGAGCATATGGATGGGCAATATGTGTGTTTATACATTTTTACCAAAAGATGGCTAATCAGAAATGTGGTGAAAGAAATAGATTGACAATGCTACAATGTTACATTGCAAGTGTGTTTCCACCCTGTTTATAGAGTCAGGTCTTTGTGGGGACGTTGCATCCATACAGAGTGGGAACTTTGTATTCATTTGGATGTTTGTATTCACGGGGATTTTTTTATATTTCTCCTCCTGTTGTGAAACCTGGTTATCTAGAGTGTGTTTGGACCAGCATGACTTGAAGGTGACTACCATTGCTATTTCCTCAAAGAAGCAACATATAGATAGCACAGATTTTTGGAGGTGTGAGCGTCAAATAACATTTTTTTTTTTACTGCTGTTCATCTTTGCATAAAAGTCTGTCAATGTTGCAATCCTCATCTTGTTTTTAAGGCTGTAGTTGACCATGGAGGAAATACTTGAGGTTTGCATAGATTTGCCATATTACATAAAAGATAAAAATCATATTTAATGCTGTGTTATTGCCTGTAACTTCCAGCCATACCACCAATAGGATTGGTCTCTCTAACCAGGAATCTCCATCATTATAGCCTGTAGACCAGTGACCACCAACTGGCGGACCGCGGGCCACATCCGGCCCGCCAGACATTCTCATCCGGCCCGCACGACGGGGGTGACTGTGGCGTTGGCGGAGTGGTTACTGCGTTCGCCTCCCACCCATTTTTTTTTTTACAACGTCTCGTGAGTAAGATGCAGTACCGGAGTCCAACAGAGAGGCAGCAGCTGCGGGTCAGTAGACTGCGTACTGTAGACCAACCCCCTTTCAAATGGCATTCTCCCATGAAATCCAGCAGTTTAACTTTAAACTTCTCAGCTCGTGTCATTTGAAAAATGGTAGAAGCCTGAACTCGGTCCAAACGTTTTTAATATAAAATCAAATGTCTATATTCACAAATGTAAGGGTCTTTTAACTTGAAAATCAAAGCCTAGCTGTTGTTTTCTTTGGCCACTGTAACATATTTGTGTTTCTAAAAGTTTCCTCTTTCAATATGTATTTACAGTAAATGTTTTACTATATAAAGTTCTATTATAAGCATCCATGATCACATTGGAGCAATAGGAAAGATGGCAGAACTTGCAGGTGCTAAAGATATAAAGAGAGACGACAGTACCATCTAGTGGAAAACACAACTCTGTACCAGCCTTCCTGACCTGCTGAATCATGCTCTACTGTTAT